AAAAAAAAAAAAAAAAAAAAGAAAGGGTGGAGAAGAAAGACGTAGCTGGATTTTAGAGCCGATTTAACCAGCTCTGTCGGCTATCACGATTTTTCTCTCCGGTGTGTGCACCAGGGGAACGGTTCTACTAACAAAACGATCGACGGTGAGAACGAGTGAACTCGGTGTTAAAAATGCTGTGTCGTTGGCTCGCCGTCCTGATACTCGCTGCATTTCTCCTGGTTATCGAAGGGATCGCGGTCACTCAAGGTACGTGCAACCGAACCATCTCAAAAATTTGCGGAACGTGCACGAACGTTGCTCGACTCGCTTCTTCGAATTTGCTCCTTCGAATTCACTTGGAGCATCTGTGTAAGAGCTCTCGTAGGTTCTTCAGAATGCATTCGCGTGCATGGCCCAGGCTTCTGAACGTTCAACGGCTAGTTTCTAAGATTCTAGTGGAGTATGGTCGCTGATTCGGTATTCGCGTCCGTATGCACCGATCGCTCTTGCGGGTGCATTAACAAAGTGCGTGACAAGTGTTGCAGAATGGAACGTAAAAGTGTGAGAACGTTCCGATTTTCCGGTCGAAAAGAGATTCCGTTTTGTATTGTAGGCATGAGTCACTTCTTAATCTCTGATGAGTTTGGAATGGTTCAAATATCGGAAGTTCTAGTATCTGCATATGTTTCTTGAAAGTATTTATTTGTCGGACTGTTTTATCAATCGCAAAATTGGGTTGCGTGAAGTTATAATTACTTGTACTGTTTACTTTAACTGGCACATATTCTACGCAGAATAAAAATAGATCTATTCTACTAGATATAGATAATCTCTCAATGCATGTCAATCATTAGATTTTAATGGAAACTGTAAGTGAAGATTCTCTAAAGCTACGTTCGAAGAATTCTTGAATTCTAGAACTTTTAATTTCTATAAATCTAAAGTAATGAAATCAATTAATCAGTAGAAATATACTTACATTGAGCTATATGGAAATTGTTTAAATTAAGTACGTGTAGCCTAAAAAACTACGCACGACTAAAGTTTCATTTGGCTAAAGGATATTTCATGTACATCGACTTAATACAGTGATAGGTGTATAACACTCAAGCTACTTTTATTACGATAATACGCAAAAATCAATGCCACTACTTCCAAACATTTATCGTGTCGTTAATTCTCAAACAATTTTCCTCGAAGTATCACAATTCACGCTATCTATGCCGTTAACGACTTTAACTTCCAGGGAGAGTACGACGTAAGTCGCATTTACCGATAACCCCAAGCCATAAAAGACGGTACAATTAATTTCGACGCCTTAACAACTCGGTACACGCGGGCGCCGCATTAAGACGCATCATTCACCTCAACGTTTCTTCCTCTCCCTCTCTCTTTCTCTCTGTGTCGCGTAATGTGACTGCTTGTGGACTCAAATGTCTCAGGGAGTAGTTTATGAAGCACTTTGGAAGGCAGGCGCACGGAGCTCAAGTTTCGAAGCTAGAAATTTCGTTTGCCATTCTGCTCAATAATTCCGCCTGCACGCGTGTTCTTCGCGTGGATTCGACCAATGCAACGGGAGCACGCGCTTCACCGACGCGAGTTACTCGCTGTTCCATGAACTAATGGCGAGAAAAACGTGGCTAACAAACAGTGGCAAGCCGCACGGTGGAATGCTAATGAACAGCACACGATGGACGCGTTTACAAATTAAGCAAGACGTCAACGAGAAACGTTGCACGGAGCGCCGATGCTAATTGAATAATTAAAAGTCACCGCGGTTGCACGTCCGTCCACTGGAAAATGCAATGTCTGTGGCAGCAGTGACACGCTGTGGCAAAGCAAATAATCACCGGCCGTAATTGTGCAATCAGAGGAACGCGACTGCTCAAGTGGCCACGGCGAAACATTACGCGGGGAAACTCAGATGCGTCGGAAATAACACCTCCAGTCGAATCTTGATAAAATATGGAAACCACATATCGACTTACAATCATTCACGGATACATAGTATTTCAATACTTATCGTAGAAAATCTCAACTGCGTATTTGCACAAAATATATCGTAGTTTCCACGTATTATACATTTCGCGTAGGCAGCCGTGTCTCATTCTAGCGCTAACAAAATTACAAAATGTTTTACACGACACGTATAATGTATCCATAAAAGTTTTCTGTAAGTGTGGGCATACTTTCAAGAGTCACTGTATGCGGTTATTAGCGACGAAGACTGAATACATTGTGCGGACTACATGTTGTTATAGAATAACGTGTCTTTTGGAAAGGAGAATTTGAGATTGAGGAGAATTTTGAAATTTGTTAGCTATCTGTCAGAGTGACTATTAAATTTTTGTAAATTCCTCAACGAATAACATAGCACGTTCAATAATTCATAAATAATTTCGCGTATGAGAGGACATAGCATAATATGTTCGCGATTGGAATTTCAGATTAGAGATAAAAGTATATACGCGTCCACTATGAAAAATAATTCCGAGCTAAATTCAAAAATGTCACCTCCAAACATTTCAATATTTTTATAACACAAATTAAATCAGTCGAAATTAATTTCGAACATCACGATTCGAATTCAGTATCCAAAGCGATCCTCTTTAATCCTAATTATATATTTAAAACGATTATTCATACCATATACAAATTCTTTTTTACCAAACATACATATGTCTGCGTCAAACATCTTGTAATTTCTATACACGGTTTCGAATAGGTTGTCAATTTGTTCCATACGATCTTCATATTCGTGTTTCGTTACGGTGCTAATGAAATTTCAAAATGTTTTACGTAGCATACACGATATACGCATAAAAGTTTTCTACGCTAAGTGCTCAAATACATCCGTGAGCTACTGTACGTGTACTTAATACGACGTTAAACCTATTAAAGAAAAGAAAGAACGAAGTGAAGAAACGAAATGTAAAAATTTTCGGAAAGTGTCCGGACTGACAAAAGATCGTACCATTGAATTCGTAAAGCGTTTGACAAAGTCAGCATGCATTAAAATGCAAGTTTCAGTCGGGTGAAATCTAGAAATCGATGAACGTGCTACGAGCGTGGATGCGAGCTTACAAATGGTTGGATCTTTAGACGATAACCAACTTTCAACGCGGCATGAGGTAAAGCTCATTCATCATCGTGTACTTCGGCGCGGCGCATTGTCCGCATCACGTGCACGCGCCCCGGGAACATTAAATCGATTCTCGTTCACGCGTGATTTACCGCGGCGAATTGAATCGTAAAGAGGCTTGCGTGCTTACGATTTTTCCTTTATAATTGTGCCTCGATTCTCTCGTTCTACGAAATCGCCGCCGTTCAGCGAAATTCGCACTGTTGGCACCGCGAAATAACTCGACAAACCCGTGAACGCGACCGATATTATTCTGATTATGTTCACGAGATAAAAAGTTTTGTGCTAGATTTTTATGCCAGACTCTAATTAGAGATAATTTATCAAGGTGCTTTAACTTTTTGTATATGGGAAGCGTTTTAATATCTTTTTTCATTAACTCGATAATTAAAAATTGAATTCGAGAAAGAAGATTCAAAACTCCTCACTAGAAAATAAAATCTTCGTTAACGAATTTTCGACGTTTTTCCTTAGCTCTCTTTGATATGCAATTAGAACCAGTATTTATTCGAACGTTCCATTTTTTGGCAGAAGTTCGTGATAAAAATGTTATGAACTTTCTGAACGACCCAGTGTTGTACAACAATCTCATAAAAATGAAACATCCAATGTCCGGTGTATCTACGTAGAAATTTTTAGCAGAAAGTGAAATATACGATATACGAACATGGTTTTTAGTATATTCTTAAACATAAACCAAAAAGGAAACGCGAAATCGCATTGGTTGCACTTTATCATCTCTGAGCCTGAAAAGGGGACAAACAATCGCCTTATTTATTTTCCTTTCTCCGGAGATCTCATTCTGTCTCATTGGATTGCATCACGTGTCAGGAGTCGTTTAGCGGTTGCTTTTTCTTCGAGAATCGAGAAAATTTTTGCAGTGAATTCGGTCCTTGATACGCCGCGACAGTGCTTTGCTTTGCTTCGTCGAACAGGATTACTTTTTTCCATGTATTTTCGGCCAGTGACAACCGAGAAAAACTTGTTAAATATTTCTATCAGCAAAATATCGTTGGAAACATGTTCTTTGGCACCGTTAACAGTTCGATAAAAACGAATGTACGCTACCGTTGATACATATCTAGACACTTTGATCAATACGTAGCAATAATATTTGCATTTCTATAAAAGAAATCTGCAGTCAGGAAAAATTCCAGAAAAACAATATAATAATATAAATATATAACATTAAATATAAATATAAAACGTTGTTATTGTTCATCAAATTCCATCGAATTTTAAACATGGAGCGAGAGAAGGAGAGAATAATTTTTGGTCACAGTTTTATAAAAAGTTTTATAGAATTATTATATAACTATAAATATATTTCTACGTTCAAAATAATCTGCAAACAGATATTTTTAATTTTGTATAGATTCTGCGCTTCTAAATTCTATCGCAGTGAATTATGAAATACAAATGCACGCAGTTTATTACACGTAGACTCTATTCGCCTGGGGATCGTATTAATTTGAAATTGCTTGAGCTTAAATCCTACCGTTACCATTATGGTTGTAAAGGAACAGATGTAGGACGAAGGAAAAGCCTTTATGAAAACATTACCAAGTTCCTTATTATTATCAGACAATAAATAACTTTACTGACTCCTAGTAAAGAAACTTTGCGTTCGTTTCCTGAAAGAAAATTACAAAGAAACGTTTAACTATCATTAAACAACGATTCAGGCAAACTTGTTATTTGCTTCTTAGGCGTACTAAAAAAATCTCCAGGCAATGTACGATCTCGTTAATTTTAATACCCTCTTACAGATAGTATCGTAATTTTTCTGAGAGATCTATGAATTACTTTTGATTTTCATTCGAAAAGTAGTAGTGAAGAAATCGCGTAATTCTTCCGTTCTTCGTTTATATTTTTATTTTTATACTTCAAAAAAATCAGCAAACGTTGCAAGTACTTGTTGAAGGAATAAAAAAATTGGACAATTACTTGTCAGTTTTAGCGGCAATATCTCCTACCATATAACCAAGCACATTCGATTTAAGTTTTATAGTGACATAACATGAATTTCTAAAATCTTAATCACCGGCCAGAAAGTGTCTGAAAGTTACTTTATACATTCTCTGTGCCATAAACTTCGGGGAAACTAGAATATAGGGCAATTCCT